CAAATGAAAACTAACTGCCCTACTCATCTCACAAGCTCTTGTGAGGATCAAAAAAAGATAAAATTTTTAATTTGCTTTACAAATGTAGATATTCTCATTCATTCTTTGATGACAAATATATAAATCAAGTTATTAAGGAAAGTAGCAAACATTTAAAAATTCATCCCAAACATATGGTTGACATAACAGGACAATCCTACTCCCCCAAGTTTTCTGGAGGACCATGGGTCTGACTGTGGTATTTCTTATCCTCACATATCTTTCCTGTTAGAATGGAATCGCCCCAAGAGAAGAACTGTCTCTCTTCTCTTCTCTTAAGCATTTATCATGCACAGAGAGAGCTCAGTACTCAAGGCTGATTACCAAATGACAGAGTGCCAGAGCTAGTTCCTGTCTAATAGGTTATTAAAGCCTTCTGAGTATGTTATAGTACATGGATTTAATGATAATTTCTTTACAATAATTAGGTCTTAAATCCAGCCATTGGCTATTTTACACAATGTAGTCATAATAACATGAAAATGAATATTGCAATAGCAGAACTAAAAGTCCAAAATCTGCTACAAACTCACAAGATTAATCTAAGTAACTAAGAAATGGATTTGCCAAGGTGACACATGATAATTGACAGGAATCCTAAATACAATTCATAACACCTTTATCTTAATGCAGATTACACTGGTACTTGCAAGGTTGGGGAACAAATGGAAAAAAAATTTAATTTACCTACTGCTACCAGTACAGCTTTCCATCTATTCTAGGACTGCTTTTTCCAACCTCCATTACCCAATGAAATCTATAAATGTTCTAATGTTCGGTGACACAACTTGAGGGGCAGTCATCTCCACTTTACAGAATAAAATTGGCAATACATGTATGTAGGGCATGCTGTTGAATGTCAGGCTGAGAGGATCCCAGGTTCAGGTCAGAAACAAGGGACAGAGAACAGAAGCCTATTTGAAATCAAGCCTCTACTCCCCTGGGAACCACATGGATCCTAGCAACACTGAACAAAGGCTATAGACAAAGCAATCAAGGATTCTGGACCGTAAACCATTCTTCTATCTTTGGGCTTTTTATTTGTATACATTCAGGCATGTCATCGTCCTGCATTAGCACTGTCCTGCATAAACGATGCTTATACATTATGCTCCTAACTGGGAAAATTGTAAATACTGGGATTTTCTGCTTCAGGAGGATTAGATTATATAATGAGTTTGTTATCAGATCGTTTGGTCTCTGTAAGCGGAAGATCCAGAGACTAGAGATGCTGTTCATCAACCAGAGGAGTCTGGACTGCAGAAAAGAGGCTGAGACAAAGCCCAAGGTCAGGCAGTCAGAGCTCTGCAGGGAGACAAGGACCCAAGTAGGACAAGTCTTTTTAACGATACTTTGCTAACCCACTTAGGCTGAATCAACACCCTAGTGTGCATTCAGGTGAACCCCACAGGGAGAAGGGAGTGGTGGGATATTGGCACATTGCTCAAAATCCCTCCATCACCCATTCTTTAACCATCTAGCAGTCTTAGAAGCTTATTGAATTTCTGAAGGAAATGCAGGAGCTGGGATTGACTATCAAAAAGATTATGTCTACCTCTGGTCACAAAGAAGGGGAAGATGGACAAAGAGAAACAGCAGAAAGAGCCACAGACCTCCAGTGCCCACAGAAGACTGTAAGCAGAGTTTCAAATAATGAAAATGAAGAGAAAAAAATGTATTGATCCTGGGAAATTGATCCTCTCTAGGGGAAATAAAAAGGGGACTAACAGTCTGCACAGGGGGATAAATGGAGTTGTAATTTCTTGTCTCGACTCCACTCATCTGGTCTTCTCACTTGTTGGCATAATCTAATACACTGGTTGAAAAACAGTTTTTTAATCTCTTCTCTACACTGCTCAGTGATAAACACAAAGTTTTTTTTTTGAAAGACCTGAAATAAAGACATTAGAGCAACATTACCTTGGTACCAAAGTTTCATTCATCCAAAAGTGAACAATTGTGAACTCTCCCCAACTGACATATATCCAGTATCAACACGTTACATGTCACATTTTGATGATAAATGCTCTAAGTCAAGACTCCCAACTTAAGGAGCTGCTTCACAAACCTGGTGCCTCATCTTCCTCTCTGCACAGAAGAGAAGACAAAAACTTATTGCTAAATGAAAATGGAGTGCCTCCTGGCCTCCACTAGCAACAAGTCCCATGGCCTAATGGCTAGGAAGTTACAAGATCTGTAAATTGAATGACAGACACTCATGAGGCTAAGAAGGTACGTCTGAAAACAGCCATTCAAGACATTCTGTGCCTCAGCCTTGTCTTCACCACCTTTTTAGGGCTCTGTGTCCCTGCTGGAAAGGTAGAACTTGGTGTTACATGACTAAGTAAAAAAGGGTATGCTCTCCTCTTCACCAAGCCACTGAGGTTTGCTGAGGGGTAAAGACATCTTCCTTGTGCAGTTTCCTTCTCAACTGTCATGGTGTCAGCAGATTTTATGGGAGGAGGGATGAGGGAAGGGTCAAGTTCACTACCCAGAGCAATTTTTGGATGTAATTATGAGACTCCACTGGCACTGCTTTAGGATCTGCAAGTTGGAGCAAGTTGCCCTGCACTTAGAGGAGGGATTAGCTAAACCAATTTCATCTAAATCAATCTGCACACAATCGAATATGTCCATGAGGCAACCAAGTCACTCTGATTTGCAGCAGTACGACCCGGGGGTGGCCTTGCAAGGTACAACATGCTAGATGAGAAGTCTGGTAATCACAAAAGTAAACAGGAGGGAAACAATTGCCCCTTCATGTCCCTAGCCTCTTTCCCTGTTCTACAAAGCCCCTCCCTGCCCTAATCCTGGAGCTGCAAGTAAGGAGGGAGGCCTCAAACAAGCAGGATCTGGGGCCTCAGCCTAGTCAGCAGAAGACTGTGCACATTGTAGGCACTTCATAAATATTGTTGACTCACTGCTACTAGATGCTAATGATGCTATGTAGCCGTGCCTAAAATAATTTATGCCACTTTTCAGTAGAAATTAACTAACTGCCCCCATAGAGACTAAAAATGGATGAGGTTATGTTTTCAAGTGAGTCTGACTCACATTGTTAGGTTGCAGTACATTAGATTAGAGTCAAACCTTGACTTAAAATAATCACCATAACGTACTGTATGCCTAATTCTATGTATGTTTTAATTCAGTTGTACATGCATTAGGGGTAAAAAAAAAAGCACACTTAGGACCTAAGTACAGTGATATATTTGGCTCCCAGGGGGACTAATAATGGAAAGTTAAGGTTTCCAGTAAACTAGGGTTCCTACTTACACCCAGTCAGTCTGTTATCTCAATAAAAGGTAAATGAAGTACTTTCCTTGAAAAGCATAATGCTGAAGGTTTATAGAACCCTTTCATCTTCAAAGGATCAAACCAAGATTCACAATACCCAGTACACAATACTATGCCTTTTACACAAGTGCATCAGGTATGAAAGAAAGGTCATAGGAATGTCCTAAGGTCACAAAGCCAAAGCAACATCAGATCTGGGATGAACTCTCTGATCTTCTCGGCTCCTAGACCTGGATTCCAACCACTTAAATCAAGTTGCAAGGAACAATCTGGGAAAATCTAATTCACATTATATATCTGTATGAAGTTAACTGATTGGGTAGGAATATATAAAAACAGCAAAGACTATTTCCCCTCCAGGGCAGTGGTGAGTGGAGGGGAGTGCAAAGAGGGATGTGAGGATTAGGGTAACCAGCTGGGGTAGAGCTGAGGAGTAGAGGAGGGAATCTCCCTATTCAGCTTTCCCCTTCTGTTAGAACATTGCCAGAGAATGATTAAAATAGTCGGAGGGAGCAGAAGGGGGTTAAAGGCAGCCCTTATGGCCCAACTTGAGAATCAGAGGAATCAACCCACACACAGTACTTGTCTATTTACACAGTCTCCAATATATTCCTTGGTGAGGACTCACATAGCCATCTCCCTGTCCTCCAACCCCACACTCAAACATCCTCAAAAGGCAAACTGGTTGAGAAGCCAAAGGCTTGCATAGCTGGGAGGCTGGGAGTGCAGGGGTTGATGGGGAGGAGTCTGGGGGATGGGTGGGTTTTGGTGGGAGATTTAGGAGGGCAGGTAGGTGTGTGACGACCTAGAGGAAGGTTAGTGAGCTTGGAGGTGGGTAGGGGAGCGTGGAAGAGGGAAAGTGAAGAACCCAGCGACCCCAGGATACAAATTTCCTGCTCGGAGAAAAAACCCCTCGAAGAAATAACGTGCTGTACACGAAGTGCAAAGTAACCTAAACCTTCTCATCACCAAAAATGTTTCTGTAAATCTGCTCCGCTGTTAATTTACTTCATTCTTACCAGCCAGGAATGGAAAAACCCCACTTTGGCCCTGTTCAGTCACAGTCTGTCCTGTGGACCTCCGTTAAGTTTCCCTCTCCCCCACTGAGCTGGTTTCACAGCTAGGCCAGAAATGAGGAACCACCCAGGCGGAGACTCGAGGATTAAGTTGCATCGGGCCTCCCCGCCGACAGGGTGTCCGCAGTATCTCCGGCTGCCGCAGCAGCCATCGCGGAGCAGACAGCTGGCTAAGGGCGCCGCCCGGGCCGGAAGGCTGCCGGCCGCGAGAGCGTGGGAAGGCGGCGGTGCCCTTTCCCAGACTCGAGCCCAGGCGCCGGCGGAGCCGCTCGGCTGCCCACGCCGGGCCCGCCCGGCTGCGCCGGAGGCCTCGGGCTGCCCCCGCCCCGCACTCCGGAGCGCAAACTCCGTCCCAGGAGGGCGCCCGGGTCCCCACGGCGCAACCGGGAGTCAGGGCCAGGCTGGGGCCCCGGCCGCCGCCGCCGCCACCTCGAGCCTCTCGGGCCCCGTCACCCGCCCCGCCGAGCCCCTGAGCCCTCGGCCCGCCCCGGCCCCGGCGGCACCTGAGAGGCGGCCGGAGCCGGGGCCGAGCCCTGCGCGGGCGGTGGCGCCCGGCCCCCGGGGCCGCGGCGAGGAGGCGCATTTTACCCATTGCGTTCCCGGGTGCCAGCCATGTCCTCGGCGCGCCCGAGGGCGCCAAGCGCTCGCCTGCCTCGGCCGCGAGCTGGCTGGGGCCCCTGCTCGAGCTCCCGGGCGCCCGCCGCCGCTACCGCCGCAGCCGCCGCCTCTCTAGGCCGCCGCCCGCCTTCGCCGCC